TGTACAATATTAGCAGGTGATACTTTGGCTACAGTGTCTTTATGTCAAAAGCACTCTTGCTGCTTTAGAAACACAGACTGTTCCTGTATGGCCTTCAACACTTGCTCTGAGGAAGTACACTTCAAGGGTTAAATGTTAGGACACATGGCTGCAATCCAGGGCAACTCCTCTGGACCTGTGCCAAAGGCTCACAATAGCAACACACCTTCCAAATAAATGGGAAAGTGCATTTTGTTTGGGCTCAGAGGACTGAAAGAGGTTGCAGCTGCTAACTCCCATATGGGCCAGGTTAGCACAAGCACTGCTGTCACGGGTTTGTTTAAAATGTAGACCAGCTTTACTTACTGAGCATACAAAGCAAGTGTCATGCCAAGTGTGGCCCAGAGCTTCAAGAAACCTGTCTCCAGCTTCAATGGGGAATTCACAGCCATGGCACATAGTACCGAAGAGGGCATAGTAATCTGCAAACAAATACAAACCAATCTTAAAGATGAAGCATATGCAGAAAAGTGAGACTGACTCTTTGAAAGCTTTGCGCTTTTCTTTCGATGGCAGTGGGTTTGCACGTGTTAAGTTTTATACTACTGGGTACACTGAATAAAGAGCTCCTGGACCGAAAGACTGGGGTGCCCTCCTTCCCGTGTTAATTCAGTTCTCACCTCCTTCCTTATCTTTTCAAGTGAGCAATGGTTCCATCTTCCTCGTGTTTCATTTCCTTGAGATCAATACCATGCTTAGGGGGGAAATGCACTCCTTGCAGAGCACCCGCATGGGCTCTACGTGCCCCTTACGTTCTCTCTGGCTCTGCTTTGAATGCGTACCCTGGCTGTTCACACAACAGACCTCCTCAGTGAGCAATGAACTCCTGCCTACATTCTGGCACAATATTTGCCCCAGACTGAACTACACAAAATCATGCAATCATTAGGCTTCTGTCCTAAACAGAGTCTAGCAATTTGGATCAAGTCAGAATAGTTTTCTAGTCACTTGAATTTCTTACACGGCTCTAAAAGAAAAAAATCAAAACCCAACACCACCACACAAAAAAAAAAAAAAAACAACAAAAAAAAACCAAACCAAAAAACCCCACCAAACTAGCAGCTTTTGGCAATATATTTACTGCATTTAACAAAAAGTATCAGTAGGGTGTCAGGATGGCTATTAGTGACTGGAATCACTGAAGGGCATTCGTTCCATTCATTTTTTAGGCACCCCTCGAGTCAGCAGAGAAAAACTCCTCTAGCAGTCTCAGAGAGCAGGGACCAAAATGAAGGGCACCGAACAGTTCATATTCCCCACCGACTGCAGAGCTTGAAAAAGAGAGAGCAGGGCAAACTAGCAGGATAAAATACATGTATGAAGTTGGGTGGGAGGCACTGACACCCACCCCCATCCACATGGTCTCAGTGTGTGACACTAGCTTCTCTGTTCACAGAGCCATCTTAGGGGCTGCAAGTCACCACAGCCCTTTGCTGCCTACCTGTGCAGGCTTAAATTTCACCCCAAGTTGTCAGGTCTTTTCCACTTATTTCAACTCTCAAACACTGCATTCTAAAGAAGGAAATGTTTTTTCTCCTGCACAGAAGATAACAGCGTTAGTGCTATAACTTGAGAGAATTTGGGAGCAGCACACCTCCATGGCAAATACATTATGTCATGCAACATTACATCTTCATGACATGAACTACAGACAGAGCGACAATGATAATGAAGCATTGGACTCCATCCTTAATAGTAACACTCTGCTTCTGACAGGGAAATTAGATGCCAGGGGTTGTTTTCAAGGAGACTTACAAGGAGTGGCAAGTCAGGTACAAGGAGATTTTTTTTTTCTCTACTAGATTACACAGATCTGCTGAAGCTCTAGGGCATGCTGCAGCAGAGCCAACGGAGGTTTATCACGTGCGTCAAGCCTAAGAGAAAAGTCCTGTTTTAGTTTAGTAAGACAGTGTTTTGTATGATGACTTCAAAAAAGCATCATCACAGGAGGCTTCTCAGCAGGGTGAAGAACACAAGTGCCCTGGAAAAGCACAGCTCCTGATGGCTGCCAGTAGCAAGGAACAGCTTCACTGATCGCCTTCATTAATCCTTGATACTGGGGTGAATTTGCAAGTGTTTAAGCAGAAGACAGACAATAAAAATGTCAAATGGTAGAACACATCTGTGCAAAACCCCTGAGGGACACAGTCTCATGAGCATACTGTTTCAGCTCTTGGCGTTCATGTTCGTACAGTATCTTTTGGTGATATTTTCCTGGTGCCAGTAGTTAAAGCCTTTCATAAGTCGGCCTGTGGTTTGTGTTGATAAGTTTATCGGCTTTTCTTCTGAAGAAAGGGCAATTGATAAGGCAGAATGAAGGGTATCAACTTTATTTTGCTTTTGCATGCTTGAACTGCAACACTACAGAAACCTTCCAAGGCAGGCTTCTCATAGTTACATATCAATGCTTCCTGCACACTGCATTTTCAAAACTAGGTTACTAGCTCTGCACTTGAAAAAAGTTCAAAGTTGTAGATATCTGCACTTTTTATTTCATTTTGGCATCGACATCCAAACCCAGAACGTTTTGCAGATTAACCCCCCTTAATACTAATAGCTGATGCTGTTATAATTTCAAATACAGATTTAAAATTAGAACCCTCCTTTGCACTCGGAGGAAGGAAAGTTGGCAATGACATTTACTCTTTATTTCTTCAAAATTAGTCATAGACTCTTAACACCAGCTGGACTGAAAGCCTTTGAAGAATGATTATATCTCAAATTAACATCTAGTTAGAGTGCCACAGCCATTACAACATATCACTGCCAATAACACCTCACAGAACGTGTCTACATTAACTTGTGCTAGCAACTTTCTACCTCAGAAATAAACTTTGTGAGTAGTGTAGTATTCATGACATTTTACCCCACTGTTTCCTTCTCACAGAATAGAAAAGCACGCATTTGTGCATGGGAACTGTAACAGTAGCACAAATCAATGCACTGCACAACATACGGGTCATTTGGTGGCAGGAACAAGGATTCAATATTAGCAGAACAAACCCCCATCACAAGCTTTCCACCCAAAGGGGAGGTATCGATTCCACCAGCACTACTTTTGAATCATCAGATGGTTCCAAGATTAGGGGCTTCAGATTGCTTCAGGATGAAATTTCACCATGCTGTCACACTGGAGGATGCTGCTCGTACATCCATTTCCTCTGCTGCTCCACGAATTAAATAGGAGCAACACGTTACCCTACTTATGTCACTGAGTTAGCGATAACCTACTGCGTCCTTTCGTATCTGCCAACTCCTCATTAAAGCTGCTTTAACAAAGAAATTTTGGATAAATTTTGGCTGCTTTCCTCATCCTTTCAGCACTTTCCATGGCACCCACTGTGAACAACTGTGTGATCAACCCAGAAGGAAATATTAGCACCAGTCAGGTCACTAGGATTTCATGTTAAATCTCTTCCTGGTCAATCCACTTCCACCTCTAGTTAAACTACAATGCTCCTCACAGTAGAACGAAAACCACAGAAAAGGTCTGACTGACAGTTCTAACATGGATGTAAACAGCATGCAGTGTGAAAATAGACAATTTTGATACACTTTAGTTTCCTTCCCATTTTGTGGGAATTGTTTTACAAATACTATCTATTTCTTTCCTAGCCCAGAAGGGTACGTGGAAAGTTTTAAGCAAACTAGGAAACCAACATAAATAAAAATTGTTCATATTAATAAAAAAGGTAACATTAGCTCGAAGTGTTAAAAACCAAACCAGAATCCCTCTGAACTTCTTCTAGGCCACATCTTTCACATAATACTGCTCATCAGGCTTTCAAGTGCTGTAATTGTATCGCTGTATTTTTCCCCTGACAGCCTGTTTTTTTTATCTCAAGCTTATGTTCAACAGATGTTATTCCTGATCCTGCAAAAACCTTCCTGGGCAGACTGCTTACTCTTGCAAGTCCCTCCCAGCTGTGAATAAGGCTATTCAGAGTAAAATACGCTACTCCACTGGCATTTGCTTGTTTAGTAAATAAGCAGATTTACATAAACTCCAGATTATTTTAAAGCCAACCAGAAAGTCATCCTAAAATTAACGCTTTGCTGTATCAGATACCTACAGCTGAGGTCTTAACAGGAACAACAAGTAAAACTAGAAGCCTGC